CCACCCTTATGTCAAGTTTCGATGTTCAACACCGCACCGATTTCGAGAAAATGCGATATTACTGAGCGAACATGCAAACTTTTTTACGGCACATTATTGCACTCGATGAAATTGACCGAAACTGTTTACAGCTCTCATACGCGTTATTTTTCGGATTAATACACAATTCACTCACCTTCTCGGAAAGAGATGTTGGAACTGCACTATCCTACCGTGGCAAAAACCATTTTGGAGCGTCAATATCCAGGAAAACCAACTTCAAAAGTAGCATTTGGAAACGGCAACGGCGCCATTTTCGAAAACTCCTCGATGTTGCGCGCTTCTCTCTTCGTGACGTCACGATGGCCAAGATCGTCAGGACAAACAAACTACCAAGTTCACCCCCCACCTCCCCCCCCGCCCCACTGTCCCTTATAAAGCTTATACACTACGGGGATGTGCCGCTGGACAGGATATGGTTCATCACCTCTCTGTCCCAAAGGGTATATGATTTCGGTGAGAGTTTGTCAACAGGGTATTTCCTGCATGATTGATTTGATTTGCTGGATGAATTTTGTTTGTTCTCCAAGTACACAAAAGTAATGACTATAATGTACCATGCTCTCTTACAATTGCCAATAAATGGCCTAAAACAAGACTGCGTTCATTTTGTCCTTTGTCCTAAACAGGCTAATAAAATTGAGGGTGTCGTAAACAGGGTATGTATTTTAGGAAGTTTTGTCCTAAACAGGGATAGCGTCAAACCTTCAGCAGCTCACCTATACTCTAATATTGGTCGATTACCCACCCACGGGTTTGCTGTTTTAGTAACTACGGTGATCGCCCCGATACTGCCTTAATTTTTCGTCCTTTAAACTCGGTTCCCGGCAAAATGGAAACAACTCTTTACGGCTGTAAGTCTCCGGCCAAAGCCCAGAATAAGCAGTGTCCATAGGCGTACGGGCCAGGGGGGCGAGGGGGGCTGCAGCCCCCCCAAATTTTGGGCAATTCAGATTTTTTGGGCAGCAAGAGAAAATTTGGGCAAAGCCAGCTTTACTTTTTCATGTTTTTTTTATTAGTATTTTGAAGAGATAAATATTTTCTATTTTAACCTGAAGTCGGCGTAATGACCAGTTACATTCACACGAGACAGTGGTTGCCAAGCACGTGATGAGTTTCTGTTTATAAGGGAAGGGTATCGTATGCTGAGTTTTTTTTATCGTTGGGCACTGTACTGCAATAGGCTATTTCCAATCGTGAATTGATTAGAATAAACTTCCACCTAACCTTCTAGAATCATCTCCGCTCGTAGAACAGCGTACGGTAGATAGCATCAGCGATTAATCTGAAAGTGAAGAAGTGGCTGACTAATTCTCACTTTGAATTACGAGAAGAATCTTAATTTTTTTCCAAAAATATATCAGGTGGTTCAAATTATTCACTTATTTGTTAAAGTAGGCCGAAATTTTACAAAACCGCAAACAAGAGGGCCATGATACATACTAATGAAATCCTTCTTTGTAGCAATTGACCAGAATTCTCTCTCAAATAAGTAACACACATTTTTAAAAGATTGAAGCTACTATGAGGTGAAATTGCATGTCAAACAGGCGCTTCGTTTTCTACAGATAACGGCTAAACATCAAGATTTTCCTTTTTTTACTGTATTTCTAACTATAAAAACTTTATCCCAGAATATCCCGATAAGGCTCTTACAGATTCCGTTTTAACTTCACGAACATCGAGGCGACTATTGGAGGAAAAAGTTCCCAAGAACGATTTCACAGTGAGAAATAATGCTGCAAGTATAATAGGTAATGGCGTCATTTCGTTGCTATGACAACTCCGATGTCATTGCAACCCTAATTATGGCAAATTTTCATCTTTATCTAATACATTTGTGGTGGCAATTTTTTCCAAATGCTTGTTTGTGGCGACGTAGTTTATGCTCAGACTTGGCAGGTATTGACCCTGAAAAACTGTATTGAGGCACTTTCATATGCCAGTACGGCCTATGTTCAGGGGCACCCAACGACAATTTTCGGAAAATATCTGTTCGGAAGACGATTTGAGATCTACAATTTTCGGAACATTTGTTGTAAAATCTCTTGCTTGCCTGCCTCTCCTAGGATTTTCGAACATCTAAATAATGGTATAATTGCCTATTTTTAACGGATTTTTACCCTAAAAAGGTCACCTACAATTTTCGGGAGTTTTTTTTCTGGCTGGAATTTTCGAAAAGGTAAGTTTTGATCCCTATAATTTTCGGATCATTAGACTTTCAGCTAGGAAATCCGAACAGATGAAAAATTTTTAGGGGATAAAAATATGCCTATATCTACCGTTTAAATACTAAAATACGTTTAACAATGCTATGTTTAAGTGGTTTTGAACTATTTTCTCGTTGGGTGCCCCTGTATGTTGTTGCATCGTATGGCCCTCGTTTCTTTTCGACTGTTTTGTAAAAATTTGTGCAACTTGCAAGAATTTTTTGGGCAAATGGTTTACCGCCCCCCTTCGCCGAAAATTGCCCGGCTGTGTCCGTTTAAACTGCGGCCAAATTACAGCCACAGTATTAAATAACTGAAAGAGTACTGATCTGAGTCATGCTGGCAAAGTACTAAGAGGGGGACTAGAAAATTAAAAGAAAGAGTTTACCTAATTCTAATGACAATTTCCTTTCCGTTCAAGGCCCGACTGGCTTGCTTGCTGTCCAGCTACTGAGTTGTTTTTATAATATTAAATAGCAACAAGACCATAGCGACAAACAACCCTGATTGAGTGGTGCAGGAATTGAAGTCTCAGTTGACGACCTGGATCACTAAATTAACAACATTAGTGCAAGATATAGAGACGGCAAACTAATCCTTACGGCAAAGCGACAAAATAACAAAACGAAATATATTTCGACAAATTTGCACGATACTTCAGTTTGTAAAACAAACCTTCTTCAGGAGCTAAAAGAAAAATAAAAATGAAACTGAAAGATCTTTACAAATAAAGATTTGAAGTAGGTGACGAGGGAGGTTATATCATATATTATCAAGCTTCGTCTCCTCGATTCATTCCTTGAGGAAACAATATTTTCCCTTTGTTTATCAAGTGTGCTGAATAAGTCACGTTTGCTGCGTATGAGTCAGTCAAGTGTAACGAGGCGAAAACGGTTGATTCAATGTCCAGGTTGATTGGAATGCAATGAGAGGGTCCTCAATAGGTTTTACGAGATTCGGGATTTCCCTTATTTGAAGCTCGGGATTCGGGAATTAAGAGCAAAATCGAGGCGAGATTCGGGATTGAAAGTATGTGGGCGAGTTAGACTGCCCGAAATGACCCTTGGGATTACGGGATTGAAGGACCCTATTGGGAAACCTCCAGTGAGGCGAGAGGGGGATCGTTGAGTGTTACCCTATGAAGGTGACCTTTCTTCGTACATTGTACGTAGCGTCACAATAAAACCCTGTCGAGTCTTATCATTTCTTATCACATGTATTTGTATGGAAAAAAACTTAACACCATGTAAACTGTGATTTTTATTATCTTGTAAAAAAATCAAGGAAATGATGTGTATATTTCCAAAAAACAACAACAACAATGAAGACAATGAAAACTTTCCGCACCCGAATAAAAGTATTCATGCTTATCGCGCTGGAAAAAACATATGATCGTGTAAACTGAACATTTCCCTCCCCTCTTCCCACCACACTCATCACTTTTTAAATGGTCCATCCCTAAGACAAGTCAAACCTCCAAAAATTAAAAGGTGACGCGAGCGGTGCAGACACAGAAAAGAATTCCTCATCCCCTTCCTTTCTCTGCATCTTCCTATGCTTCCAAGGACTTTCGCGAAAACTGTCGATTCATTTTTAATATAAAAAGGAAAGGAGTGTCATTTTTCACTTAATCAAGCCTTCCTAGAACGTCTGCTTACGTCTTGAGCCTTTCTGAAAAAGCCTCTGCGCTCTCCATCCTAAATTATTTAAATAGAAACATTGCCTTTGAAGTCTCTTTTTTATGACATAATCGATGCAACGAAAAAAAATGTGCCAGATTATGTCTGCTCAGAGAGACCACCCAAAATTCAGAGCCAGGGAGGTAACCAGTTAATTTTGGCGAGTGGTCGTTTAATAACCTAACCGAAAAATTTAGCTGAGCCGAATGATTTCAACCAGACTTGATTCATCACAATCTAAATTAATAAATTTATCTCAATACAAAGCTTTTAAAAAATACATAAAGAATAACGAGGAACACACTTAAGCAAATTCACATTCTACGAATATGGTTCAATAAAACAGCTATTTTAACGGTTCAAAAAGTTAAATATTACTATTAGACCAAACTGAGGCCCGAAGAGCAGGAAAAAAAATTTTTTAGACTGTCTCTGTGAATAGTACTTGAGTTCATGTTTGCGGCGTATGTGTGAACTAGGAGTTCAGACACCTACTAAGGGCCTGTTTACATGTAGGTGGGGGACCCCAGGTAGGTGAGGTAACCCGCTTAAGTGAGTAACCCGCCTGTCCAAACAATCTCTCATTTTAATGTGATCACGTTTACATTTTAGGTGGGGTAACCCGCCACATGTTACCTCACCTACCTGGGGTCACCCACCTTCATGTAAACGGGCCCTACGACAGAAATTTTTCTAGAATGCTTAAGGAGTCCTTAAGGCGACAATGGGTAATGTGGCCCTTAACAACTAAATCGTATTAGAACAGAATAGGGTGACATTACATTACATTACATTACCTAAGGGGACTGTGTATGAATTTTTTCACACAGAAAATTTCCCTTATGAATTAACCATATTTAAATGTCTTTTTATACCGTCACAATAACGTTGACGAATTGCAAACATGTGAAAAAAAGGAAGCGTTCAGTATAAATAGACAAAGAAGTTTCTTGCTAAATACACAGCAAATAAGGAGGCAACTAAGAACTCTGGCAACTGAAAGGTGTAATTGCTTAATTCAAATAACATGAATTTGGTAACGCGGGTTTGGAAGTCTTAAATTGCAGAGTAATTAGACCTCACGTGGAATAAGACTAACATAGTGAAGCTCATGCACGTGACCCAGCACAAGCCGGTTGCTACCAGTAACATCATACTCTGGGCAGATTATAACGTCATGGTGATGCAGCAGACTGCTGATCACATGAACGCATGTTTCAAAGCAGTTTGCAGCCCCATGGAGAATCACATGATCACCCCATGTACCATCTGCCATCATGGTTGTAAGGTAAGCGTTCCAAGATGAATATCCATCAACAAAGTGGAAGAGATCTGTCCCATCCGGCTGTAAGAGAACAAATGCTGTAGTTACTACAAAGACGACAAAGTGCATTTCTAGACGGTTTTTACTCCGAAAACTACGCAGACACCTCTCTCCACCACAGACCCCCCCCGGGGGGGTGTACTCAACAATTTTATTTGGGGGAGGCTCCGCCCCGAGGTCCAACCCCTTACACTTTTATAAACCATTTTTGACAGAAAAGGTTTACCTTTCGTATACCTTCTATTGACAAATGGTACCCCTTTCACATACCTACTGTAGTTTAGAACTTTGCATCCCTTTTAAAAGGGATGCAAAGTTAAAACTGCTGTAAATGCACCATTTTTTTAATGAATAAATCACTAAACCAATAAGTTTTCTTGTTTCTTTTACATCCATAAAATGCGTCTGTTAGCTCTTTTCAGTCCTTTTACAGACCGAAATGACAGATCTCCCTACCCCCTTTCTACACTGAAACTAATGAAGTCCCTACCCTTTCATATACCTGAAGCCTGGAAAAGGTACCCCTTTTGTGCGGAGCCTCCCCCTATAGGCCATAACAGGGAGTACTCCCCTGGGCCACAGACACCGTTAGTAGTCGTACTCTGAGAGAGGTGTCCACCTTATCAAGTTTCAAAGAAAATAAATAAAGAACGATGAGGACCAACTCTATATGTCCATTATTCTCTTCAAGCGTTCAGATAATGTGGATGACGCAAAAGAGAAGTGAGCAGGAAAAAAGCCACCGTGGTGGAAAAGGTCTATTTCAGTCAAGTCACAGGTCTGTTTCTTTAAACGTAAGCAAAAGAAGCTTAACGGCCGAGGCGAAAAAAGGAAATGTTCCCCCGTCTGTTTCCATTTATGCTCGGACCCTTCTCCGCTTCGGTCAGTTTAAGTTGCTAGTCTGAGAGAAATAATTTTGAGGCGCTAAAAAAAGGACACTAACCAGCCTAGGGTTGTCCTTGAGGTACTGGACAACAGTTCGGCGTAACTCTTCATGGCTGATTTTAATTCCTTTGATGCGGTCAAGTTGTTCTGAAAGTGCAAAAAACATGCAGTTTCCATCCCCTTGATTGTCAGAAATCACAAAACCTTTCTCCAAAGCAATCCTCTTTAAATTCAACGACAGCTCAGTTTTGCTGGCCTCTCTACGCGCTTCCAGCTTGATTTTTTGAAGTGCAAGGAAAACCAGTTCACCTGCAAATGATAGAGAGGAAAAATCCAAAATGCGACAGGTTATTTCACGTCAGTTTAATATAGCGTTTTCACATGACGTCATGTCGGTCATACTAGTGTTCCAAAACAACGAAACGGCGGCCATGTTAGTGTTCCAAAGCAATCCTGTGGGAGTTGAACTCTTTTCTTATATAAACACTTTATTTTGTTCCAACAAATTGGCGTAGATGCTCGCCACGTGAGTGAAAACGCTCTATGGGAGATAGAACACAGGTCCAAACAAAAACCATCGGACCATTTTAAATTACGGTGGTTTCAACAGAACAAAATGAGAATGACTCAAATGCCACGGCTATTTCTTCAAAGCCAGCTTGCGATGATCGAATTTGGAAGACGTTAGCGATATCCAGTAAAATGACGTCAATAGTGTAGGATATCGCCAGAAAAGGGGACGGCAACTGAGAGGCCCTGGAACGAAGTTGAAGACAGAAACTTAACATCGATCGAGGCGGGCATGTTTTTCAAGTATGAACTATATTGAATGGATAATAAAACAATAATTGGATTGGGATTTCAAATGATGTGCAAAATTATGCAGATCTCGTAGGGTGTTATCCGCATCGGCCAGCATCCTCCACGATCTACAAAATTTTTCAGATCATACTCAGCCTCATCCTAAAATTGCTCATTTAAATTATCGTTACTTTACTTAGGTCCTCTTCATATGAGCCCGGTTACCGGGATGAACTTCGCCTTGGGTTCATATGAGAAATTTCAGTCCGGTTTCCGAGATGAGAAAAGGTCAAAGATCCTGGGAACGAATTCTGGCGTCAAATTCGGGAAACAGAGCAAACATGGCCAAACACAAAAATTTAAACTTTCGGGCCTATCTGAGCATCGGTAACTCTTAAAGCTGTATCACTGCAGTTAAATGGGATACTTATGATGTGGAAAATAATGCAAGACGATGCCATCTGGACCGCCAGAATTCATCCCGGTAACCGGGATGAAGTGTTCATATGGCAAAATTTCCAGCCCGCTTACCGAGATCTCGGGAACCGAGCCAGCCCGCCCTCTCATATGAACATATCGAAACTTTTAAAAAGGATTTAGAGGTAAGGCGAGATCTCGGAAACCGAGCCAGCCCGGTCAACCGGGCTCATATGAAGAGGCCCTTAGGGTAAGAATTTGATTTCTTACCATAAACCATCTTCCACATCGTGTCAACAAGAGATTTGCACTGTCTCTCCCAACTGAATCTCTCTTCATAGCTTCTTCGAAGTCTTTGGATTTCCTCAAGCCGCTGTGCCCTAGATTTTTGTTGGATAGCTACTATTGCCTTTGCCCATTCCTTGGGGTCATCCGAATCAATCACAAATGACTCGCCCATTGGAAGACAACGCAGTGCTTCTCCAAATCCGGAGTTTCCACTTACTAGAATGGGGAGACCGGCTGACATGGCTTCCAGTGCTGTCAAGCCAAAACCCTCAGTTCTTGAAGGCATGATGGCCACATCAACTTCAAAAAACAACTCTTTTAATCTTTGCTTGTCTTTCAAAAATGATCTGACAAACAACTGGTTTCTTGGAATGCCCGTCTGGCATAAGATTTCCGCGACTTCGTCCTGCTTTCCATCAGGTGCACCAACAAAGATCAGACGGTAAGAACTGTCCTTCAATTCAACTATTGCTTGAGCGGCAATGTCGTATCCTTTGAGACTGAAGTCTTCAAAATCACCACGGCCAAAGGTTAACACCTTGAACTTCGCACTCGCTCGCGTAGTAGCATGCTCAACATCTGAAAACTCTTTAAAGGTGCCTGGCATCAGCTGGAAGACATCTTGATGAGATGAACTCAAGTAGGACGAGAATGCTTCTGTCAACTTGGGCCCAACTGCCACAACGAGATCTGCAAGTTGGCACAGCTCAACTTCATCTCTGTTCTTTCCTTCTCCCTTGGTAATTGCGCCAGGATAGTTCTTATACATTGCTAGCTCTTCAGGTTCGGTGTGCACTACCTGAACCCACTTGCAACAATGAGACTCTTGGATGATTTGAGCTTGTTTACCAAGCTTTGCACCATGACCAATCACGACCTGAATGTCAAGGTTTCTTGGTGGAAAGCTCAACCAATCAAGGGGATCACTAAAGCCAGGGCGACGATGTACTTCCATAATGGAAATGTTATGAGCCTTGGCAGCTCTCTTGTCATCTTCACCGCACTCAAATTGAGGTACGATAATAGTGACTTCTACGTTTGGTTGTTTTGCCAAATGCATGGCAAGCGTTCTGTTGATTGTTGACAAGCCACCCTTAGATGACCCCCACTCACTAGAAAGGAGGGAAACTTTTAAGATTGAAGGCTGTGCATGACTTTGTGTTATACCAGAAAAGGCTGAGTGCAATTCCTGAAAGAAAACCAACATTGCATATTTCAAAATAGCACTTTTATATGGGGTGCTGTCTAGAAAGCGTTTGAACCAACATTTGTAAAAACTGATTCCATCAAATTAAAGATGAGGTCAGCTTAAGTAGCAAAACAAAATCATGACGAGTGAAAAAAAAAAAAGCGCACATCGCTATAAGACCTTCAGGCCAATAGATACAATCGTGATTGGCAAGGTCATACACGTTAAGGTGGCTCGATACAGTTTTTTAGAGTGAATACCTCCCACGTTTGAGCGTAAACTACGTCGCCATAAACAAAGATTTGGACAAATTAACACCACAGTTGTCTTAGATAAAGATGAAACTTTGTTATGATCAGGGTTGCAATGACATCGTAGTTGTCATGGCAACGAAATGACGCCATTACCTACTTTACTTGCAGCAGTATTTCTCGGCACTGGGAACTGTTCTTCCAAAATCGTTTACTGGAGCTTTTTCCTACAATAGCCGCTTCGATGTTCGTGAAGTTTAAGCGAAATCTGTAAGAGCGTTTTCGAGATATTTTGGGAAGAAGTTTTTATGGTTAGAAATACGGTAAAAAATGGACAATCTTGATGTTCGACTGTTATCTGTACTAAACGAAGCGCTTTTGACATGTAATTTCACCTCATAGTAGTTTCAATCTTTTTAAAAACGTGTGTGAAAGATCATGGAGATACCTCCAGCCGATTGCTAGAAAGAAGGATTTGATTAGTATGTATCGGGGCGCTCTTATTAGCGGTAATGTAAACATTTCGGTCTACTTTAACAAATTAACGAATAATTTTGAAACCGCTCGATAAATTTTTTAGAAAATTTAAGAGTCTTGAGATAAACCGTCCTTTTATATGACCTCTTAGTTTCAAGATTATTGATATATTCTTTTCCATTATTTTCTCTTCCACTAGGGAGAGCCGTGTCGAAGAATAAATAGGTCACATTACACCAGACATCATCCCTAAAAAGACTACGTTCAATCTTTTCAGATAGTGATTAAAGCCTCATGTATGGTGCCTTAATTTTAACATAATTACCCTTCGAGATTATATTTCTCTTCAATTAATTTTAAACTACCAGCGTTGCTTAGAGATTGTATTTCATTAGTACCTCGCTTGTTGACAGTGAGAACCATTTTTCCAGGCCCTCGACTGTGAGAACTATTTTTGAAGGTTTCTTTTTGCACAAAAGTGGGCCACCTTCTCTTATCTCAAGGAGATGACGACAGTCAACATGTGCACATGCCAGCTGATTATGGCCACTGCACTTTTCTAGCTGACAGTATGGACAGGCGACGCGAATCTGATACTGCAGCCCACGTAGATAGAGCAGATCCTGTGACAAAGATTGGAGTGTTGCCTCCACAAACTCACGCACCTGAATTGCAACCTCACTTCCTTTATCCCCTGAGACCTGCTGATCTTGGGATCTTTGCATGACAAAAAACTTGATGTACTGTTTCTTGCAGAAAAGAACTAAATCATGGACAGTTCGTCTCCCAATGACGAACCACGCTCCATTTCGGTACAGGGTAGGGGGCTGAGTTGGACCAGCCTCAGAACACCAACGGACAAGTCGAGAAACAAGCCGTGTGAACAAGCCATGGGGCACAAAACCAGCAACAAAGAAGACATATAGATGACAGGGGTCAGAGTGCGAGGGTACCATGGCACAGAGGGAATCAGGTGGCACTTTCAGTTGAGATGGTACAAAATACTTTTCATCAGTTTTAACAGGTGAGAACTTTGCAATCAAGCCAAACTGCTCCATCAAGTCTAAAATTTCATCTCTGACAACGCCCTTTAGAAGAAATTTGGAAAACACATGCTCAACTAGTTCCATGCTGAGGACACCGCTTTCTCTCAGTTTCTCCCAGTGCTTGGAAACCTTAGGGTCCTGAAAGATAATAAAATGAGGAGTGATTACAGAGTCCTCAAAAAGGAATCCAGGTATCAGAGAGCAAATTGTGGGCCACCATAGGAGCCCGTAATCCCAATCCCCACGTTGCTCTTACGCATGCGTGGTACATAAGTAGCCAGGATTTGTTAGGACTTCCACTAAGGATGGATGGAATGCACAGAACGCAATCTGAAATTCATGCGCGTTTGGACCTTCTCTTTGTCGGATCACGCCCGTTTTAACCTTCTATAACGAGAAACTTGCGCGAAACACAGCGTTGGAGCAAGAGCATTTTGACCCTCCATCGATCTCTCCAGTAGAGAACGCCTAGTATCAGGTTGAAACTAATAGTCCTGAATATTACATGACCGCGCGGAGATACGAAATTTCTCTTCAAGTGTGAACACGAAAAGAGAAATTTCGTATCTCAAAGCGGCCATGTAATGTTCTATTTATTATATAAACACCAATGAAATACCAAACCATTTCACTTGAATATTTTTTTTTGCTGCGAAAGGTGCGATTTATTATGTAGCCACAGCAACGATGATCTCTTAACATGTGAACATAACATTTTATTTTCACGTATGAAGATATCATGTTTTCGCGTGAAAGCTCACCTGGTATTTCATTGGTGTTTATACAATAAACGTTTTTCTTACCATTTTATTAAAATGTGGAATAGTGATCAGCTGCCTGAACAGGTCAATCAGCCATTTGGCACTCAGAATGACTGTGCTACAGTGCTTGATAATTATCCCCATGTCATGATAAAAATTCACCATGGTGGTGAACTCTTCCTCGTCATTAACAAAGCACTTATCTTTGGCATAGGTTTGAAGTTCCGTTATATTTAAATGACAAACGTCCTTGGACTGTAAAGCATCGATGACCTTCTCAAAGCTGAGCCACCTAGTTTATAAAAAATGAAGCACGTAATAGTATTCATGTCACTAAGAAAAGCACCTGCTTTGACTAATTGTGCAAAAGCATGCACACATTCCAAAACAGAAGGGTAAACTTCGGATCATTGACTCGACGCCAAGATAGTCCTACATTAAGAGGTCACTGTTTAGTACACCGCACAGTCAATTCTGTATTAAAGGGGCAGTGTCTCAGTCACCAAAGTTGATAGTAACTTCTTTGACCCTTCCGTTCCTGGGAATTTCTCCGAAAGTGCTGTTTGAAGCTAGTCAAGCCGTTTTCCGGTCACTTTCTGACTATAAAAAACCAAAACTACCCAAAATGTTGTTTATAGGTCGACAGCTTTGCGGCCTTCCATTCAAGACGCAAAATATCAGCTTCTTAAACTCGGGCATGTGCAGAAAGCAAAATTTCGAGATTAAAAAGTGACACAACAGTTTCAAACCAGGCTCAAAACCCTAAAAATAACATTACAACTGAAGGCAGAATTAACCCATTAGGTCTGAAACAAAGGCCTCAAATCCCAAATTCTTCCAACGGAAATTCTCATTCAAAAGACTAGAATTGTCTTTTAATATGTTGTATCATTATTACTCTATCTCAGAGTAAAGGGTAAGCTTGAATGATATTAGACAAGAAAACCGTATTTAAAAATTTGGCTTAATCCTGGATTAAACTTAACCATCGTTCAAGGAACGGGGCCCTGGTCAATAACGACTTACCTCACAGGTATACTCTCCCCCATGTATGGCTCCTGTTTTAGCACTTCCATGATTCTGTCCTGTAGAGCTTGAATGTGATCAATGTGTTTATCTTGTCTGAAAACTCTTTTGATCTTTCTTTGAAGTGATCTTGCAGTGTTGTCAATGCTGAAGATAGGTCGCACCACATGTCCTTCATAGTCCTTACCAGCAATTGCCCTCTGTATTTGTGATTTCATTGTTGCAATGTCTTCAAATGGTTTGTCTGCATGGGTGCCCACAATGATCACTGGTGGCCGAAGATGAGGAAGCTTTCCTTCCGAATCGTCACAGGTTTCTCCTCTCATCTGTGTTATGCTATGCACTGTTGACAGCCAAGATAGTAGATTCTCCAAATTTGTTTCCCCATTTGGGTTGTCCAACATGAAATTATGACTTCCTTGTCTCACACAGGGTTGGGCGGTGTCATGCAGTGATTTGCTAAGGTTGCACACCAAAATATATATCGCACGTGATGTTAAAAATACAGGATGAGATGCATAATACAGCTCTTGTCCAGCAAAATCCCACATTTCAACACTGAAAACAGATTCTTCTTTGACACCTTCACCTTCCACATACTTTATCAACTCAATGGCCTGCTCCTGGATTTCATCTGGAGGTGAAGCAGTATCAATCAATAACTCACGATCAGGCTCTGCTGATGCGAGTCCAATAACTCTGTCTACATTTGGATCGAGAGAGACCTGCAAAATTGGTATCAAAAATAGAAAGAAAAAAGAATTTAACTGCATACTCATTTTTATGAATTCTTGGCAATTAAATTTATTTACTAATTTATACAATGTATTTCATCAAGATGAGTAATGGAGTTAGGACACAGTGCGAGTTAGCGAGCCACGCGAAAGAAAAATTCAAAAAAAAATCCAAAAAGCAGTAACACGAAAAAAAAAACCGAAAGCTAACCGTTGTAAATGAGTGTTTACTCCTAAAAGGCATAGAGCGAGTGCTTAACCAGTTTAACCCTAATCAATGAAAGTCGACCAATACTACGTAATTCTGCAAATAGTCCAACGGCAAAACCGCACATGCCCTTATAGGGAGCTAAGCAGGTAACATCTTTCATGCATTTACAATTTCATAAAACTCTATTTTTTCCCATGGCTTGCATGACTCGCAGATTGTCCGGACCTTGAGCATCAGTGTTACAACCTCTCAGTTGGTACGTATATACTGTGATTGGCCAGTTTAGGGGGGCTGCAAATTCTGACACTTGTTTTGGTTGTAATTCATGATAGAAGAAGATCGTAAAGCTGATCGTTTCATGTCATTTTGTGAAATAAGAGGTATCATAATTGTGAAAAAATATTTTTGAAGACTCATATTGCATAGCCATGATCTTGGACACTCGTGTTTGGGATTTGTCGGGCACCCATCATCGATGGCTGTCCCGCTTGAATATTCAGGGCTCAAAGTTTAAATTTGAGTTTGGGAGCACTTGTGCTACCAGATGTAAATTTTTAGGCGCACAGCTGAAAATTTTAGGAGCACAGCTTATAATGATGGGAGCATCTCTTTCAAAAGAAAAAGTAAAAAGCTTTTAACAGTGCCACGTTTATTTGTCATCTTCAGTTTGTTACTTTTACTGCAGTCCTGTGATTGATAAAAGACAGCCGATTTGCTAGGCAGTAATACCGTTGTGATATTTAATACTAATTTCTCTTTTTGACAGTACAGTTGTGACTTACACTTGAAAAACAATTCAAAACTGACAACAATGAGTGTGTCGAACGAGAATGAAAATTAATCTTTAATGAATGTGTTAAATGCGCAATGACTTACATGTAACTGGAATACGACTTAAAAAACTTTCTTACCTGGAAAAAAAGGCTCTTAATCCGCACTGTTTTTGTTTTGATTGACGTTAAAACTGAACGTTCGACATGATCGTCCATTGCACAAAAAGTTGGGAGAAAAGACCAATCAAACATACACCGTCTTTCTAGTTCCAGTTCGTAAGTACAGTCCGAAGTAAGTCAGTCGCACTGTGCTTTGGGTTTTACGGCGCACAGGTGCGATTACACATAAATTTTTAGGCGCACAACCAAAAATCCAGTCGCATATGCGACCAGTTAGTCGCTAACTTTGAGCCCTGATAATATTGAAATCTTTTTTTAATATGCTCTATTAACCACATATTTTCAAACTGTATTCTCTGTAAGCTCTGACGCCAACACTTACTTTCAAATTGAAACTCCTAACTTACAGTTGTCCTAGTAATAAATAACAGGGGCACCCAACGAGAATTTAGTTCAAAACCGCTAAAACATAGCATTGTTAAACGTATTTTGGTATTTCAAAGGTAGATATAGGCATATTTTTATCCCCTAAAAATTTTTCATCTGTTCGGATTTCCTAGCTGAAAGTCTAGTGATCCGAAAATTATAGGGATCAAAACTTACCTTTTCGAAAATTTCAGCCAGAAAAAAGGCTCCCGAAAATTGTAGGTGACCCTTTTAGGGTAAAAATCGGTTAAAAATGGGCAATTATACCATTTTTTAGATGTTCGAAAATCCTAGGAGAGGAAGACAAGCAAGAAATTTTGGAAAAAATGTTCCTAAAATTCTAGATCTCAATTCGTCTTCCGAACAGATATTTTTCCGAAAATTGTCGTTGGGTGCCCCTGAAATAAGATCTGATACTGGTGAATATGAGGATTTGACTAGGCCCAAACCTGGTTCACAAAGGCATCTTCTTTCTTTTCACCCGCAGGATCAGCAATATTCTGTTCCCCATTCTTGTGACCATCATTTGTACAGTTGCTGCCATATTTTAATTCACCTTCTTTCTCCTCCTGAACCCAATTACGACTATTAACTGGAACACACAGCTTTTCCACAATCATCTGTGCCACATCTTTAGAGCATCCCAGCAAACCATGTTTACTCTCATCAATAGGTTGCCAATCCTTAAATTCATCAACATCCACTTGAAAAATTGAAGGATCCACTTCAATTCCTTCAGTACTTTTTTCTTTTGGATTAAATGGTACACCAATGAGAGACTTCTTTAAACTTGTTTTTCCTGCCCGATCCTGACCAATCAGCAATACTCGACCACGGTAAACATTAACAGCTCCATCTCTTAGAGCGTTTTGATAAGCAAATTGTGCTCTTTCTCCTCGTGCCTCAATTTCTGTAGGGACTTAAATGATAAAAATAATGAAAATTATAGTTTTATTCTTCCTACCCAATCATTGCTGACCTTTAATTAGCAGAATGCACAACCTCTGTAAGTTATCAGGGTAACTGCAGGAGTTGATTACGATATCCTTACAACTTTAATGACAGGTGAGGGGGCAGGAATCGAATGAAGTCTGATAAACACCATTTTTGGCTTAGTAAGTTACACTGTCTCAAAGCTTTTTGAAATTGTCCATTTTACAGTGACAGTTGAAAACGAGGCTGGAGTCTTCTTGCTTTATTATGTAAATCATGTTGTTGTTATGTAAACTAGTAATTTAAAGCAAAATTTACATTATAAAAGGAGGGAGGTTTGTATCAAAACAAGGTCAACCTCAGCCTCACGTTCTCTCAAAGGCAAGGACACCAAGCCCACAACTGTAAAATGGCTTATAGGTTGTAGCTTACACACAGACAATTATGCAACTTATGCCACTGTGTCATTATCACATGGAAGAGGTATACAAAATCAAACCCTATCAACCTTCAAATAAAAGTTTGTAGTGTCTCAGAGCTCAACAGCTGATCACCATAACTAAAAAAATATATATAAGATGAAATAATTAACAATTATTCCACGGGGGCGCATTGGATATGAGATGGTTATAAGAGAGCCAACGAGCCGTGTTAGCGCCGCGTGGGCTATAATCATATCATATCCAGCAAGTGAAAAATGCCCACAAAATACCGAGAATGCTTCCTGCCTTTATTTGTAAAAACAACCAATTTTTAGCTTGTTTTTAATTTTGACTAGGCTTGGATAAATTCTGCTCGTAAAATGGCTTATTCTGCCTGCCAGCAGTGCTTGTAAAAATCGCTTATTCTGCTCAAAGTTCTGCTTGGACACCCTTAATCTCACAAAGATAGAAGGGAGCCTAGGCCTAACCCCTCAAAAAAAGATATTCACTATGCATAGCAAAAATGTAACTCATCTCACTTTTAATGTGAGTGTGTTGTAGGTATTAAATAATCAAATTAATTACAAGGTAATTTCCATTTGCTTTTCATTTAGGTTTAAATTTTTCTTACAACTCTTATGCATATCATTAGTACCGCTGATTTTCCCTCATTCTGCTCAAATTTTGCTCGAAAATGCCTTTTTCTGCCAGCACAATGTTCCCCCCAGAAATTGCTTATTCTGCTCAAAATTCTTCTAGCAGAATTTATCATGCAAGTCTAGAGCAGATACGTACAGCTATTTGGAGAGCATGGTATAATGGCTCATATACCATGATGGCTAAGGCAATCAGAGCTGTAGAATTGCATTATCCAATGATTCAGTTTTTAATAATAATTATTATTGTTGTAAGGAAACATCGATTACATGTATATCTGGGTCATACTTATCTACCACAAACTACATGTGGGGTACTGGGGCCCACTCAGCCCTGCACAGTCTACTTCCAAATAGAATTAAGGTCACTTAACAGTTTTGCAATAATATTGAGTACTTGGTAGAATTACTTACTGGCTATAAGAAACAAGCAAATTACTTTAAAATATAGCTTGTTAAAAATATTTTTAAAAATTTAATAATAATTTAGTGTAAATAAGTCTGCACTCACCCATAATATCAGTGTATTTTTTCTGTCTATTCATTGATTCCAGAATAATTCTTATTGCATCAACAGTTAAAGGATTACCACTGACCTTCAGTCTATTCAGATTATAGGCCAGGTCATTAAGCTCAGCTGCAGACCCTAACTCAGTTAATCTGTTACCAGCCACATTCAACTCCTCAAGCTTCTTCAGCCTCAGAATACTGCTTGGTAAACAACTCAACTGGTTATATTTCACATTCAACGTCCTCAACTCCTTTAGGTCACCAATCTCGGGGATTAATGATGTTAATCTGTTATGATTTAAATTCAGCCCCTTTAGCTTGTTCAGCTTCTGTATATGGGTAGGTAAACCAACCAACTGGTTGTTGCTCACACTCAGCTCCCTTAGCTCCTTTAAGTGACCAATCTCAATGGGTAATGCTGTTAATTTGTTATCATCTACGTAGAGCCTTTCCAGCCTGTTTAGCTTTAGTATACTGGTAGGTAAACCAACCAACTGATTCATGTACACACTCAGTAGCCT